GGGAAACCCTGCTCAAAAAAGAAAAAAAAAAAAAAAAAAAAAAAAAAAAAAAAAAATCAAATTACTATCTCTGCTTATTGTCCTTTGTGGTGATGGGCAACATGAGTTCCAAGACTCTAGTTACAGATAAAGTGGAGTTTTCAGAGATTTCTTCTTGAGGGAATCAGTTTCTGTCCACCTCACCCCACCCCTGCTTCTCAGCCTTCTGCACCAGCCCTATCTCACCAGTGGCCCCACATGGCTGGTGTCTCTAGGCACGCCTTACTATCTCTGCTTATTGTCCTTTGTGGTGATGGGCAACATGAGTTCCAAGACTCTAGTTACAGATAAAGTGGAGTTTTCAGAGATTTCTTCTTGAGGGAATCAGTTTCTGTCCACCTCACCCCACCCCTGCTTCTCAGCCTTCTGCACCAGCCCTATCTCACCAGTGGCCCCACATGGCTGGTGTCTCTAGGCACGCCCTCCAGTAGCAGGACCACTTCCTCTCCATCCCTGAGTGGCTGGCCCTTCAGGCGGCCCAGCAGATGTGGAGGTAGCACGCTCAGGAACTGCTCCAGCACCAGCAGCTCCAGGATTTGCTTCTTGGTGTGCAGAGCTGGCTGCAGCCAGTGGTTGCAGAGCTCCCGAAGCCGGCTCAGAGAAGCCCGAGGTCCCATGTCCTCCTGATACTGGAAGCATCTGAAGAGCTGGTGGGCCACCTCGGGTCGAGGCCTGACCTTTGACTGCCTGGAATCCTCCTGACCAGCAGCCTCATCCTCCTCCAGCTTCACTGCTCCAAGCTGCTCTTGTTCCTGGACATCTGGGACTTGCTCTGCCAGCATCTTTCACACCTTCTGCAACAGGACCCACTTTTAGGTCCCTTTCCTCAGCCCCTCTCACACCTGTGGAGTTAAGATTCTGGGTTAAGATCTGTTGCAAGAGCCACAAACAAGATCTACTGCAGAGACACTAACCCTCACCTGAGTTACAGGTGTTAAAAAGTATGAATATATGCCAGGTGTGGTGGCACATGCCCTTAATCTCAGTACTTGGGAGGCAGAGGCAAGTGGATCTCTGTGAGACCTGGTCTGCATAGCAAGTTTAAGGCCAGCCAGAGCTACATAGTAAGACCCTGTCACAAAATAAAAAATAAAAACTGTCATGGTGGCACACACCTTTAATCTCAGCACTCAGGAGACAGAGGTAGGAGAAGCTCTGTGAGTTTAAGGCCAGCCTGGTCTACATAGTAAGTTCCAGACCAGCTGGGGCTACAGAGACCCTGTCTCAAAAAGACCAAACAAACAAACAAACAAACCAAACAAACAAAATATATAAATATGTGATTTCCTGAGGAAACTTTTCTCCCACTATCATGGTGATTGTTCATAAGGATAAGGACTAGGTCTCAGCTTGAGCATTAAAGCAAAGCAAGGGGAGAAAAATCAACTCTGAGAGTTGGGCAAAGTTCACTTTGTGCTTGCCTAGCATGCACAAAGCTCTGGATTCAATCCCCAGCATTGCATAAACTGGGCATGGTTGTGTGAGCCTGTAATCAAGAAGTAGAAGCAGAAGTTCAGGATCATTCTCAACAATGTAGGGCATTTCAGGCCAACTTAGGCTAGAGACCTTGTCTCAAAAAAGAAAAAGAAAAAATGAGGAGGGGGTGGGATGGAAAGAAAGCTTAGTGGGTAATAGTGCTTTACAAGGAAGGGTGAGGACCTGAGTTTGGATTTCAGTACCCATATAACCAGCCAGTCATGTTCCCACTGATGCAGAGGACAGAGACAGGAGGACTTCTGGGGCTTGCTGGCTGTTAGCCTAGCTAAAAAAATGCAAGCTGCAGGTTCAGGGAGAGACCCTGCCTCAAAGGACCAAGGGAGAGACAATAGAGGAGGATGCCAAATGCTCTCCTCCACACTCGCACAGGTATGCACACACCTCACACACAAGCATGCATAATCATATACCACACTCGCATACATACACACAAAAAAAGAAATCAGACAGTTCAACCTGTCCTGCAGAAATTAAGACTTGGCATCAGGGGCTGGAAAGATGGCATAGCAGATAAAAGCGCTGGCTGCTTTTGCTGAGAACCAGGGTTCAAATCCAAGCACCCACATGGTACAGGCACCTAACAACCATCTGTAACTCCAGTTCTGGGGAATCCAATGCCCTCTTCTGTACTCCTCAGGCACTGCATGACATGTGTGCACTTATATACATGTAGGCATAACATGCATACACATAAAAAATATGAATAACATTTTTTTTAAACGACGAGGCATCAGTTTCTGCCTACCCTTCCCTCTTCCTGATGCAGCCACTGGGGGCATGTAGCACTACAGAAGAGTAATCTAGGATAAAAATGTTTCATCTCAATCTAGTCACCAGGGCTGGAAGAAACAAAATCTTCCCAGAGGGGCTTCAGAAAGGGCCCCCCGACTCCTCAGAATTTGTAAAACAATGCCTGCGGGTGGCACTGTTCTACAGGATACTAAAGAGCCTTCACAGCAAAGTAGATGAACCTTAACAGAACCATTCTTGTTTGTATTGAGTGATGTGTGTTGTGTGTGAGCATCTGCCATGTTGTGCATGAGGTCAGAGGACAGCTTGTGAGAGTTAGTTATCTCCTTCCACTTTATCGGTCCCAGGAATTGAACTGAGGTTCTCTGAGCCAGTTCTACCGGCTTTTTTTTTTTTTTAAAGAATAGTTTATGGAGGGGATCGAGAGATGGCTTAATGGTTAAGAACACTGGTTGTTCTTGCAGAAGACCTGGGTTCGAATCCCAGCACCCACATGGCAGCTAACAACTATCTGTAACTCCAATCCCAGGGGATCCGATGGCCTCTTTTTTCCTCCGCCAGTATTGCACTACACGGGTGCACTTACCTACAATGCAGGCAATAGACTCATACACATAAAATAAAATATTTTTTTAAAAAAGAATAGTTTATGGAGGACATTGCAAAGGAGCTGCCCAGCTGATTTTGGGTTTTGGTTTTTCTGAGACAGGCTCTTCCTGTATCTTCAGGTGGCATGGAACTTGACCAGGCTGGTTTGATGTCTGCCTCTGCCTCCCAAGTGCTGGGATTAAAGTCATGTACCACCAAGCCTGCCTCCCCAGCTGATTTTAAATTCACTTCCCAAGTCGAATTGCAGGTCCCTCTCTCCCTCCCCTCCTCTCCTGGATTTTTCGTCATTCCATCCCAGTTAGCAATGGACAATGTCTCTAGTTGGCCACCAGGGGGCATTAGTTCTGTAGGAGAAACTACCTCCCTCCCATCTCTTCCCCTTCCAGCTCAGTGGAGCTACTTCTTTCTAAGCCTTTAGCAGCACTCAGGTTTTTAGTTTTTCTCTTTCCATGTTGGGCATGGAACCTAGAACCCAGAGCCTTAAGAATGCTAGCCAAGTACTCTATTACTGAGCCACGCTAACCTGCTTTGGCTTAAGTATCTCCAAACAGACACTGGCACTCTACCTCTCCCAAGCCAACCCCCTACCGTCCCACCCATAATGGGAATCCCAAGTAGGGGGATGGGAAGAGAGCCTCAGGCATCACTTTCTACCACCTTAACAGCAGCACAGAGCAGCCACACATGGAGTATTGGTACAGTGTGGGTGAACAGCTGTGTTCCTGGCTATCGTTGTAATCATTACTGATTACAACACCATAGTGCCCTTTCCTTGAAAGACTGTACTGAAACAGTTGAATCTAACTCCTGATACCTGTCTAGTTTCCTCCACCTGACTCCTGCTCCTCTCCTTCCCACACACAGCCTGTCCAATCTGGGCTCTTTTCTGTTCTCTGACTTCAGTAATTTGGGTTATTTTCCAGTTGCAATTGCTCCTTCCCCGATACTTCTTGAACCCCAAACCACTCACCTGTTGCTGTAGTACCCCAATCACAGGTCATTGTTTGTTTCTTCCCCTGGCCTGAGTAAGAGGTATTGTGTCTCATTTACCTGGCACTGGAGATGACTTCAATAAGTGAGCAGATGTAAAGAAACAGGCAGTGATAAAGGCTACCTCAAAGTCCTAGGAATTCAGGAATGCGTGTAATAAGGTTCAGTGCAGAAAGGTCTGTGGTAAACACTCAAAAAAGAGGGATTTAAGATGTATCTCAATTGGTAGAGTGCTTGCCAGGCATTCACAAAACCTTGGGTCCAGTCCCCAGCACCTCACATACCAAGAGTGGAGGCGCATGCCTGTACTCCCAGAACCTGGGAAGGTAGAGGCAAGAAGATCACAATTTCAAGGTCATCTTCAACTCCGTAGGGAGTTCAAGGCCAGCCTGAGCTACAGAGAGACCCTATCCCAGGTGGAAACAAAGGGGAGGGGACATCAATCTAGGCATAGGCTGAGAGAGGAGGACTGAAAGCTCAAAGCCTGCCTGAACTACATCCACAGTGAATTACAAGGCTGGCTTGGACAACCTTTCTCAAAATAAAAAGGTAAAGAGGGCTGGGTGTAATGGCATACACCTTTAATTCCAGCACTCAAGGAGACAGAAGCTAGGGGGTTGGGGGTGGGGGCGAGCTGGAGAGATGGCTCAGTGATTGAGAGTACTGCCTGCTCTTGCAGAGGACCTGGGCTCTGTTCCTAGCATCCACATGGTGGCTAACTCCAGTTCCAAGGGAACCAACTCCTTCTTCTGGTCTCCATAGGGCTTGCATGACATACATGCAGGCAAAACACTCATACACATAAAATTAAATAAATTAAAATAATGTAAAGATGTCTGGAAATTTAGCTCAGAAATAAAGCACTTGCCTAGCATGCACAGGGCTTCAGGTTCAATCAATTCCTAATAACATACACACACACGAAGGAAATGGTATTTATGTTTCATTGTTTTGAGAAGCATGTGCAAAACAACTAGAGAATGAACCACTTGTACTGGTCACCCAGAAGTGGTTGCTGGCAGGTACTGAGCACTGATTACCCAGGCAGTGTGCAGACCTTACTTCATTACGCTCCATCCTTATGTTAAATCATTAAAAAAAAAAAAAAAAAATCTGACAAGCTCAAAGACTGTGGTTTGCTCACAGCCATACCTGGTGCAGCTAAGGCACACTCTAAGGTGAAAATACAGTTCTAGGCTGGCTATTTCCTCCCTGCCCTGCGAGATTTTGTCAGTACTCACTGGAATATCACATCATGGATACGAGATTTCCAAATAAAGTTAAGACCCAGTTACACAAAATGACTGGAATCTCCAAGTGAGGCCTCACCAAAAGGTTTCCAAGAGATGATAGGCAGGAAAGTTGGCCCTAGAAAGCCTGTCCCTTCCCCCCAGGTCTCAAAGACAAAAGCCCTATTAATATGCACCTCAGTAGGGGGTTTGGGTGGGTGTGGGGCAAGAAAGCTCCACAGTCACTAACTTGGAAGTACAGCCATGAAACAGCCCAGAGTCCAAGAGAGACAAAGTGGCATTCTACAAGAAATGTCCCTTTTCCAGGCTCCAAGTGCCAGGGGTCTAACTCGCTCAGCTCGGTGGGCCTGGCTTCTCTACATCCGGGCTCCCTTCCTGGTGCTGGGGCATAGTGAATGAGGGATGGTCTGTCCATCTGGGAACACGTGGCACCCGCCTCCTCCAATGTCACAGGGTGTTCTGGGACCCTTCCTTATGTCCCCCGGGTCATAGATTCATTAAGCTATCTGGCACTGGGATCCCCAGCACAGTTTCCCCCAGTCTCCCAATACTTTCGGCCACTCTCCCACCACCAACAGCTGAAGCCCCCTTCTCCCTCCGCACTGCTGTTGAGCCTGCACCCCAGCCCTCTGACTCACCACTCCAGGTATTTACTCCAGAGGCAGAGATGTTTGGGGGTCCTTAGA